TTAAACTGGTCATAAATGTAGGAAAGGGTTGAAATGGAGAAACAAAGGATGGAAGACATTTGTGAAGAGGAGAATTTTACGCCAGCGGCAGGCACTGCTAAGGTGTGACCAGACCGGGATCCAGTCCGAAAAGGTGCACAAGCTCTGACCTTGGCAGCCGTTCGAGTTCCAATGCTTTTCAGCGCGAACCTTCTAGGTGAGTTATTGGAGCTTCCAAACAGGCCGGGAACACCACCTTACATGTACTTTACCTAAACGTAAGTACCTGAGCACACAGAGACCCGCTGGGACTGGGACGGCGCAGTTCAAGAGTCCAAGTACATCAGCAGCTTGCGCATCGCGTTCACAGACGTCAGATGCTCCGAAGGTACCTAAAGGCATGTATAGATACATAGATACTTTGGCTGAACGTTGTCGAAGCTCCTGCCTTCGCTTCCTTCTTCTCGTTGCGTCCATCTTTCCATCTGCCAAAAAGGAATCCGCCCGTACCTACCTTGGATTCTTCTGTTCTGAACAGCAGATTAGAAAGGTTCCTCCCTTTGATTCTTATCCTCCAACAGCTGTAAACCTATGTGGAAAAGCTGACAATATATCCCCCAGTTGCATTTGCTCAGTCGCAATTTCCGTAGCTGCAACGGCCTTGCTTGTGCAGCTTCCCAACGACCCACGCCGCTCCTTCTGTCCTATCCAAGGCCGCAAAGCTCTACCTGGGTCCCCAGTCGCGCATCATCGACCTCGTTACGATACCAATAGCTCTCTGCTTTCCACTCAGACAGAGGTAGAGATACCTGAAGCGTTGGACCAAAGCTGCTGCTAGCCCACCTACCTTTCTTAGCGGTACGTCCCTGTCAGGTTGTGCGACTCTCGCCGCTTTGCTGCACAATGACCCGAAGCTCTTCGTACAGGACGGAAAATGACAGGCATCGCGACTAACAACGATTTCCCGCTAATGACATGATTACGAGCCACAGAGTCCAGACCAACCGTTTGGCTGTCCAGACCGTCCACCTCCGATTGCGCGCATGCCTCTTCGCGACAGGCGTTTACTTTGATTCACCCTTCTCACTCTACTCTGATAAACCAGCGCTGGTGACGTTTCCTTTCCTCGTTTGCTCTCCTTCCTCCCGTTTTTCCACCTTCCTTCTACCTCTTCTCTCCCGCAACGTCGTCTCTACCAGGTAGGTCCGGATACATGGCGGAATACGAAGGAAAACCACATCATATATTCAGGCTCCTCCGCGGATACTTACTTACTTCTCGCATAGCCAAGGTACCCTGGCCGACATCTGCAGCGAACCCACCTCGGAGCTGCCCTCCACCTCCGCGCCCTCCTTCTCTCCGCACCAGCTCGCACCTGGACTGAACCTGAACCTAGACCGGGCCTTCGACTTGGACTTGGACGCACGGCTCCTCATCCCCGCCACACCCATCCGCTGTCCGTCACTTCGCAAACAACTTTTGTCGTGCCACTCAGCACCACCAACCTCCTACAAGAACACCTGTAATATACTGTTCATGGCCACTCGCTGAAAAACAGTTCCTCTGTCGTTGTATCGTTGATCCTGCTCTTTTAGTTTTGTGTCTCGCAACGCCTTACACACACAATGGCGCCGCTTCGTGGAGGAGAACAAGTCTATGCGACGGTTCGTGTTCCCAACCGCCATCGCAAAGCGTAGAGGGCACACAGAGAAGAAAAAAAAGTAAACAAAGAGCTAACAGCCACTTTCGTATAGCTTCTGTTGAACGACACATACCTCCCAGGTTAGTTTCTGGCCCTTGATTCACTTTTCAAAGCTCTGCTGACCATTTCGCGACTAGGCGCATTGGTTCTCGCTCATTCTCTCCGCGATGCTGGAACTTCCAAACAGCTGGTCGTTCTCGTCACGCTCGACACCGTATCTGCCGATGTTATCACAGAACTCAAGGTGAGCTCGCGACAGCTTTGGCGCCAATTGATCTCTCCGTGCAATATACTGATGCCTCCCCGGTGTAGGCCGTTTACGATCATGTCATCCCCGTGCCGCGCATTCGCAACGCTCGACCTGCGAACTTGTACCTCATGAACCGGCCTGATCTCCATTCTGCCTTCACCAAAGTCAACCTCTGGCGACAGACTCAATTTTCCAAAATTGTCTACATTGATGCCGATGTTGTCGCCTACCGAGCTCCCGACGAACTATTCGACATCGCCGCACCCTTCTCTGCCGCACCCGATATCGGATGGCCGGATCTTTTCAATACTGGTGTAATGGTTCTAAGCCCCAACATGGGAGACTACTATGCTCTCATGGCTATGGCGGAAAGAGGCATTTCTTTCGATGGCGCCGACCAAGGTCTCTTAAACATGCACTTCAAGAATACCTACAATCGCATCAGCTTCACCTACAATGTCACACCCTCGGCGCATTACCAGTACGTGCCTGCGTACCGACACTTCCAGTCCAGCATCAACATGGTGCATTTCATTGGCCCCGACAAGCCGTGGTTCCAAGGTCGACAAGCGAGCAAGGGAGATTCGCCATTCGAAGACATGATTGGAAGATGGTGGGCCGTTTACGACCGACATTATAGAGTTGCCGTGTGTCTCCCAACTTTGTTATCTTTCTAGCAGAACAAGAGCTTACGTCTCTATAGGAACCAGCACCTGCTCCGCCTCAAGAGCAGCAGCCACAACTTCAGGAGGAGCCTACTCCTACTCAGCAACAGCAAACACATCAGGAACAACAGGTTCCCGAGATCGTACAGTATTTTACTAAAGGAGAATTCCAGCCGCAAGCTGCGCAAGCAGCATCAACGGGTGAGCATTATCACGGGGCGGAAACGCCCCGTAGTCACGGTGGCACGCACTACCAGACGGCGCCCCCTTCCTCGGGTCATCCGGCTCATGGCCCTTCCCACCATGATGCCCATGATGCTGGCTCTTCCCAGCCGTGTGTTCATCACGAACAGCCCCATCATGGTCAAGGATCCCAGCCTGAGATCGCGTATCAGGCTGGCCATTCGTTACCCCCTTCGAGCGAGTCATTTGGTGCTTTTGCTGGAACGCAAGCTGAGGCTCGATCAGAGCAGATTTCAGCACATGAGGGGCGGGGTGAATCAGTACCAGTGGAGCAACCAAGAGAGCCAACTCCTCCGCCAGCATGGGACGCTCAGAGGTTCGTCAATAATATAGCCTAGTAGCTCTTTTTCGTATTCTAACTTTTGTGATAGACAACCCCCACCGGCAGATTCAAGACCAGAGGCACTCAACTTCCCTTCACAGACGTATGAGATGTCTCAGGACCCCGCTCCATTTGTGCCCCCCCAACGATACCCGAGTCCCCCAAGAAATATGTGGTATGAGGTTCCGAAGGTTAAGCCAACGCAGAAGCCTCGTCACCTTTTCCCGTGGGAGATCAACCAACCCAAGCCGACTAGAGTCTTCACTACGGATTTGGCCGAGCCGGAAGCCGAGGAATCTTCGAGCACGCCGACTGGTGAGCACACGGCGTCCTCCATGGCGTCTTCCACATCCCAGGCTCCCGCTGAGCCGTCTCTTTTAGGATCATCGTCGACTGGTCAAAAGAGCGAGCCCAGCACCCCAGCCACTCCAACTATCAAAGTCAGCCCGTCCGACCCTTGGACCGCTTTCACACGGACGAATGCCTGGGACGAAGTACCCGAAATCGAGCGTTATGTCGAGGGTCTCCAGAAGCATCGTCGTGGAAAGAGCCAGGGCTCGGTGGGAAGCTCTGATGGAAAGACAGCAAAGGAGCATGGGCTCAAGCTCACAGACTTCCCTAGCGTAGTCGACAGACCTAGTCTTCCAGTCACTCCTGCACCTATCCGTCGGCCAAAGTTCTGGGGCGGTGGCCCCGGACCTGGCGACGGAGAGGATGACGAGGAACTGCCGGTCGCCCATGGCGTGCCGCCGCAGACTGACTGGGTATGTGTGCACGGAATTCGGTGGACTCCTGCAGACTGTCTTTGCGATTATACTAACCTGCCCTCGCGCCCCAAGGACCCTTCTGCACAGCTTCAGGAATTGGCTAAGCAACAGTCAGAGGCTTTGTTGAAGAAGCTAGGTGGTGGTGAAGGTGGTGGACCTGAGGGTGTGAGTCGAGAGATCCCAAAACGTTCCTTGCCGTTCGGCTCGGAGGGAGTGTTTCCACCTACTTATGTTGCGCAGTCGTCTAAAGGAGTGGTACTCAGTCCGCAGCCGGTGAAAGGCAGCGCGACAACGAGTGTCTTGCGCAATCTGGGTGGTGAGCAGGCACAGATCCAAGAGCCGGCGTACCAGGGTCCAGGTACCGCCTGGGAGAGGGGAGAGGGTGCTCCGTTGTGGGAGACGCCTGCACTGCCTACGGAGGAGCAGCGCGATGTGCTTGACACATAATGGGTAATGAAGTGTGATCACTCCTGTCTAATAGTTACATCATGCAGCAGCAATATTTCAGGCTTACGAAGGATGGATATGGTGGCATATGGCAAGGAAAGGGGAACTTCATTGTATTATATTGGAGGCGATGTATTCATTGCGGATGAGGAGATAATGTCGAGATGACGAATGGCGAGTCAGACTAAATGACTTGGTATGTATTGTCATTATCAATATCCCAGCTCTCGTAGGCAACATGTTTTATCATCTCGTCGATTCAAAGCTTACATCTAGATAAGCCTCTTCTTATGGCATCAAAGCTTACCAGCTTTCTAGGAAACCCCATTGGAGAATTCTGCGAATTTCAAATATGAAGTGTGTTCTCATGTCGATCCGTAGCCGTCAAATGTACGAAAGACCTTGGTTCATGGCCGAGTACTTCCACACCCAGCACATATGCAACTCACCCAATCACCATGTCCAATCTGTGTCACTGAATAATAGAAGACGAATTTCTCGAAGAGTGCTTATCTCGCGTACTTAGTATTCGCTAGTAGTCCTACAGAAAATTGGTATGATTTTTACACCTCCACCAGAAAAATACCCGCCCCAAACGCCACGTAATGCCTCCCCCTGGCTGTGTTTAATCATCTTCGTCACCGGCTTCCTCGACCGTGACAGCCTTGGCCTTGCCCTTACTGCTACTACCGCCCTCCTCCTCGGCATTCCCCTCGGACACCGCCGGGGCGGTGGTGGTCGCCTTCTCCGGCGAGCTTCTGGGCGCGTCTTCGTCGTATCTCGGGGCTTCATCGACTGACGTCTCCGATGGAGCGTTGTTGCCAAAGAGCTGGTTCGCTCCGCCCCAGTTGGGTAGCACCGGGTTTGGGGCGAGGACCGGCGGTGGATCTGTCTGGTTCGTGGAGACATCGAGGCCGGAGCCGACTGCTTCCTGTCTTTGCTCATGGGTGGTCGAGCGCGTTGAGAAGTCATTCGTAGCGGCGTGAGTTGAGTCGGCTTCCTGTGTCACGCCAACAACTGGAGCTTGCGGGACAGATGCCTCTGAAGGCTGGGCCAATTCGCCCGATGCCGACAAGGGCCTCTCGGGGAATGGCTGAGATCCAGGAGCGCCTTCTATCCGCTGAAGAGGAAGAAGTGACCACCCAGGAGGGATCACGACGCCTTCGGGAAGCTCAGTGCTGCCGGCGGGAATCGCGTTAGAGTGGTTTGCGGCTCCATGCCGTGTCACCACTGGGCCATTTACACGCAGGGTGTGGTGGATGGGCACTTGTGACAACGACATCGCCGGAAGTGGCATCTGTTGTGGCTGGCCCAGATTGAAGACCGGCGGGGTCAGTCCAGGGTTCTGGGGTGCGTTTTGCACCTGTTCTGTAAGCTGCTGCAGCTGGCGAATGCGGCTCAGTTCTGCTGTAAGAAGCTGGAGCGTCTGCAATTCCTGGTGCATGCTCTGAAGAGTTGACACCTCACGCTGTATCATCTGCTCGAGCTGTTGGATTTGTTGCCGGATGGCTGGCATGTTGTTACCACCTGGCGTTTGCGCAGCGGGCGTAAAAGGGCCAGCGGCACCTCCTTGAGCGAAAGGTGCCGGGATAGCCTCCTGGGGGACGCCCATTTGCTGTGCCAATTGCTGCATATTCTCGCCCTGGGCGAAACCGAGGCGGAGAGGGCCAAGCTGGAAGACTCGCGCTGCGCCGTTGCGGGGTGGTTGCTGAGCTGGCTGTCCGCCGGGAGCGGCACCAGGTGCATTGTTCGCAGGCGGTTGCTGGCCAGGTGGGACAGCAGCTCCGAGACCGCCGAGACCAATTCTAGCGAACATCGCTTCCCTGTTCTGCGGTGCGGCGCCATTGTTGTTATTCGTAATGACGACTGGGCTTCGGCAGGTTGGACAGACTTGTTGACGCTCAAGCCAACTTTTGAGGCATCCAAAGTGTAAAATGTGTCCACACGGAAGCTTCTTGGGTCGCACACGCTCCACGGCCCCGTTGCTTGGGTCCCAGGGACGCATTTCCTCTCGGCAGATGATGCATGTATCCTCCCGTCCCAAATCTTCCTCGGTAGCGTCGGGGTACTTGTTCATGTCCTCGACGGCCTTGCGGTAACGCCAGAGTGCTGAGCCCCTCTTGATGACAGATCTGGCTGTCATGAAAAGGTCACGCATGATGTGGATCGGCAGGCCGTAGAATGTGAGCAAAATACCGAAGAACACCAGATAGATGGCCAGTTTCACACAATCTAGACGCTGTCAGAGCATGGCCATGGCCGCAGAGTCTCGGTGTGACTTACCAGCAATTAGGTCAAGGATCAGAATCCACTGACCCTTTGCCTCCCATCCCGGAACCTCAATGTCCATTTCATCGATATCCTCCTCGCGAGGCAAGTCAGGCTGGTCCTCGGCCGCACCGTCTTGTTCTCGCTGCCGAATGAGTTGCTCGCGCTCCTCGCGAACTTGTCTTCGTCGCTCCTCTAGGCGCAATCTCGTTTGCGTCTTGACGATGTTCTGCTCCATCACTGACACCAAGTAGCGGATTCCAGTTCGTCCGGAACATGTTGCGAGAACGGCGAATTCGAAGAGGAACATGACCATCATGTTGGGACGTGCTTGTTGGATGACTGCAGAGACAGTATATCGGAGAAGCCAGGTGTCGTATACCAAACTCAGGAGAAGAGACAAGCTGAGCCGAGTGTGGAAGAGGCCGGGGTTCGCAGGAGGTTGTTGTTCGAGGACCTCAACGCGGCCATCGCCTATCCAGCCCCAGACCTTGCCTGTCACCAGTGCGGTGAACATGACTAGGAACCACGCGCCAATCTCCTCCCGGAATATCGTCATCGCGAGGCATGTTTCGGTGATGGCGAACCAGGCTTTTTCGGAAAGTTGTTCGACTTCTACTTGTCGCAGCGGGCCATAAAGGAGTCGTTGCAGGCCGTATATCAGCGTGCCGTAGATGAGGTACATGAAGTTGACCAGGACCTGTGGGCATTCATTAGCTTCGTTCTCGGCGGGATCACGGGTGAGGCCAGGCAGCGCACCAATAAGCAGAAGTTGCTCTGCGCGAGGTAAACCATGGCCGAATAGAAGTTGGCTCGTTGGTGGAAGGCTGATACGACGACCGAGGCCGCCAGGGCCGTGGAAACCTGTGTCTCTGGGTCAGCAAGTTACAGCTCCGAGGTGGCCTGGCAAGTCTGGCGGAGACGGAGCTATGCGAACGGAGCTTGCTCGATAGCTCCAACAGAATCACTTACCCCTGCGTACCACGCGAGCCTCATCTTGACTTTTGATGGGCTGTTAGCACGGGATTTGGTGATGTGGAGTGAGGGAAGCCCTCAAGTGCCCATGTTGTTGATGCAGGCCAAAGAAAGTCCGGATGCGCGGTGTTGGCGTGGTAGTACGTCTCTTTCGGAGGCTGTAGTTGATGCCACGTTAATGACAAGCATCCGCTTGCTGTTTGCTGTAGTGGATTACCTGAGCAGAGCAGTGACGCCACAGTATCCCACTCCACTAACGCGGCAAGGTTGGAGGTGGATCTCGCACGTGATGGTTCGCTACAACAAGCGGTAGGTGAGTCGGAGCTACATTAAGCCGACTCCGGCCGCGATAAGACGGCAAGGGCCGGCTTTGCTCACCGAGCCTCCGATACGAGTGACAGTCTTCCGTGATGACTTGGACGACGCCCTCCTCTCGTCCGCTTGAGAACGGACTGTATTCGCCAAGGAGAGACCAGAGTCATCTTCCGTGTCAATGCTGAGGAAAGTGAGGTGATTCTTTACTTTTTGGAAAGTCATTCGTCTATCCTAGTGAATGCGACAATGACCACTTGGTCGTAAATATCGCCTTTCTGCTTCACCTCGTGCTTCATTCAAGGTCACGATGACAGCTGCACTGATGCCCATTGCTACCCCGGCGCTTCTCACATCGCTTAGGAACCAACCGCACGTTCCGAAGCACGCGTGGTATTTTATTGCTGCCACGACCTTAACCATATTGAACCGACCAGATGAGATACCACAGGTCTACAATCATGTCATGAAACACGGTCTTGGGCCTGATGACGTGAAGCCAGGCCCGGAGGAACAGCTCACAGTATTGAGGAAGCTACGTGAAGCACTTGTCAAAGCCTCTGCAGTTGGAGGCTTGCCCAAGGTACCAAATAGACATCAGAATCTTCCGTTTGGTTATAGTCACTAACACGATGTAGACAATCAACTCTCTTATGGAGTTGAAGAAAGTGACGCCAGAGCACCTACTAGATGAGCCGCAAGGTCCGAATGATGCGCTTTCTTCATCGCCAACTGCACGGCATGTGGACATACACCACACACCCTCTTCCAAGATCTTGCAGCGCGGGCAGGGCTTCTGGGACAACATCTACGGCAAGATATCGAGACGTGTCATGAGTCAGATGGACCGGTCGGGCACAGAAGACCTCGGATTGACCGCCCGGCTGATGTATGGGTATATCCTGAGCAATACCAACGTTCTGTCCCCAGTGGAGACGTCGTACGTTCTCATTGCCGGGCTGATACCGCAGGATGTGAATCCTCAGCTCAAGGGTCATCTCAGAGGCGCTCTCAACGGCGGCGCGTCTGCGGAGGAGGTGAGGGCTGTGAGAGGCATTGTCATGGACATATGCAGAGCGTCAGGCATGGGCCAACTCGGTGAGGGCGTACCTGGCGGATGGGGCTGGCGTAGCGAGGTTGCAACTGTATGATGGCTATGTATGCTATGGGGCGAGATAGATAGGAAACGACAGTGAAGCTTTTCTCAATCTGGAAACTCTGGAGTGGCTCAGTCACATCAAGTGACAGCGTGTGATAGTCAGGAAGCCCTTCCGAGGCTTCTCAGCACGGTAGAAAGCCTTGTAGGCACAATGACATGCCTCCCACAACACATCACGATACCGGGGATGAGGCTCGGCGGGCATGTCAAGAGGTTCCGCCGCGGCCGCAATTCCGCGATAGACGAGGCCGAAAGCGATTCACTTGGCGAGGAGAGCACGGCGAAGATTGACTGGCCCACAAACGCTGGCACCCAAGTGTCCGAGTTGAGTTATGATATTTGTGTTCCCGTGATATGATAGACCGTCGTACGAACGGAGCCAGTTGCCGCGCTGCAGGGCATGGGGGTAGCCGTGGACGGAGGCCATGCTCGCATTGCATGTATACATCATCCATACACACTTGCATACGGCCGTAAGCAAGCTCTCGAATACGGACTGGGGGGGTTTCCTCAAGGGTATTGAAACCCGTTGTATAGAGCCTTGTCCTTCCCCGACTGAACCAGCTGTCAGCATGGGTGGGAGAATGGCTACCTAGCTGCTACGGTCTACCTATGTCGTGCAACCCACCCCATCCCCAAAGATTGGCGCTGGGTTTCCGGGCCACACGATGGGTTCGCGCCGTGGAGATCAGTACATCGCGTACGACGTACGAAGTACAGCAGCATACTCTGTAGGGAAGGTCGTAGCTTGACCGGGATGGTGGGCTGCTAAGTTAACTTTACCCATGAAAGGAGTTGAGGGCATCACCAACAGCTCCGACGCCGAAGTCCGAGGAGTGCGATTGATACACATACCAGATTTGCGCCCAAGCCGGATACGGCCACTGGATGCAACAGCACATCATCCTAGGCATTTTCCCTCTTGAGAATGACACCCTCAGAACCCGTGCATTTCTGTCTGCCCCGTGGCTTCTGCTTGGCTACCACCCGGGTGGAGAGTTGCGAGAAAAGGCAGGGCTATTCAGGCAAGCCAAAGGCGGCGGGGGGCCTGGTTCTCTAGAGTCTGCATTTGCGGCTTGCCAGGCACCGTGGCACTGGCACCCCCCAGCGGTTAAGGGAAGAAGAAACAATGACAGAATTGGCGTGTCGATCTTTCCAGTCTTTCCTGCCATGGAGCAGCACCCTTCCGAGCGAGGTTCAAGGATCGACACTTTCTCTTCGCAGTAATTCTCATTTTCCTGCTGTCACGCCTCTGCCTGTTTCTCCAACCACACCTTTGAGTGTTGACGACAGAGAGGGGAGCGATTCGCTGGGGGAAGGATGTGCAACAGTGGTCGGCGACCATCTTCCACCTCATCTTGCAGCGACTAATTTCGGATGGCTATTCGTCCGGGAACATGAACATCATCTCCATGCCTGCGCTCCCCTGTCGCTCATGCCCTTGTCTGTCTGGGACTCCGACTCCGATTCCGATCTTTAGCCACCAAGTCTCTCAACGACATCAAGTCATCTGTCGCTCCGGATTTGCATCTTGATCGCTCAAGGGAGCCGCGAAACGTCGCTCATCGCTTGCGAAATATGATAACGTCAAAACACCTGGCCGGCCCCGGTTCGCTACAGGCTGCTTGCTTGCTTGTAATCTGCCCGCCACCTGCTCATCCATGATGCTATTCTTCGGCAGTGGAGCGCGAAGGATTGAGACTATCGATTTGGTCTGGTCACAACCGCCCAGGACTCCAGCTTTCCTCATCTACCGGCCATGTCAACCGTCACGCTTCCAATCCAAGTTCCCACCCCTCACGTGCTTCTCCGCTTCCGTCTCCGACTCCGACTCCTGCATAATCGCCCGCCCCAGCCTCGGCCTACATGGCCTCGCCGTCGGTGTTGCGTTTGCAGAACATCCCACGCCGCGCCTCCCATCCCCGCAGCAGCGAGGGCATCGCGAGCGAGGGGGGCCCAGGGGACGACAGACTCGCCTAGATTCATTGATTCAATGACCACGCCGGCCTTCTTCTCTCAGAGCTAAGAAGCTAGGCCCGAATACTCTACGCGAAGCCCGCCATCGAGTGCTCCAAGCTTCTTCCCGCACTCGCCTACAAATGCGACCCCTGCGCAATCATCAACACGTGGTTTGGGACGAGTCTAGGGCCTTTGAGGCAACTTTGATCCGTCTGGTGTGGCGTTTTGTCGTCTAGCCTCGCGGTCATGGTAGTAGACCCTCTTCGAAGAGGGAAAAAAGCCCTATCCCGCCCGTAAGTTGCAACCCATCGCATCGTCGGGAGGCGGGCGTGGCGTCGGTCAGAACCCGCTGCTTCGGGTCCTACACAGTTGGTCTGTGAGACCCGTTTGCGACTTTGCGTTGTTTTGTTTTCCAACGCCCGTTCATTGCCTCCTACCGATGCGACTTCTTTGTTTTTGGCTCTCTGCGAAGGGGGCGGGCAGAATAAACCCAGCCCCAACTCCCCAAGGTTCCAACTCAATCTCTCTTGGGCGTTTTGCCTCGGTGTCTAGAATCTAGATGCTGTTAGCCACGATGCGTCCCTTTTCTTCATCTAAACTCTACTGGCCCTCTAGCCCACAGACTAGCCTAGCACAGGCACAGATGGCAAAGGAGAGCAAGGGGACGGGGAGGCAGACAAGGCCTCGACATTTTGCTCATTGTCTCTGTGCTGTCCCGACCTCTTGGGCGTGTGTGCGTCCAAGGACTAGTCAAAGCCCGCGTTCCCCTCGGGTCTAGACCTATTTCCCTCCACCCCTTCTAACGGTATCGCGCCTGAGCCTATTGTTCGAAGGAGGTGAGAGGGAGAGACGACTTGCGTTGGGGGCTACCCTCACGCTGGCTTAGTGGCCTTTTTTTTTTTTTTTTCACTTAGCAGAAGCCGGCGTGACGCCTCTTTTGCTGGGATGCATGTGTTAGTCCCGACGGTCTGGGTGCTTCGGACCCAAGACTGCGGTATGGCAGATGGATACCATCACGGGTAGCTTTGCCTCATTTCACCTTCGCTCAAACGCTGGGGGGGGGGACAAAAGCTTTCCACACTGTTGTTATGGTCGTTTGTGGTCACTTTTCATCTCGCACGTACGATCTAGATCTAGTCCCCCGAAGTTACACGCGGCGAGCAAGGACGGCAGTCTCACCTCAAACCGGGGTCCATCTGTGCCCTCGGCCGGTCGGTCGAGTAATGGGCTTCTTGAAAGTGCCGACAGATAGTGGACATTTCTTCAACTCCTCGTTGCTGTGCATCGCGGAGAAGAGGTGTAATATGGGACGACGCCACGACCCTGGAGGTGACTATCTCACACAAAGAAGCAAAGTCCGACAACGCCGGTATCTCAAAGGCGTTTTGTTGGACACTAGGAAACCATCCTCGTTCGTTACCCTGTCACAAGCCATTGTACTTTGTCAATACCTACCTACTGCAAGTAGAGGTCCCCGATGTTACCACCCAGCGCCCACCTGCCTTTCTATCTATCACCAACCACTGTTCTCTACTGCAACGCTTAGTTCCTATGGCGCCAAAACAAAACAGCCAAGTGGCCGGCCACTCTTTGGTTCAAGGACCGTGGAAGAAAAATTGGGCGATGGAGCGCTCGAGCGAGTGAGACACCTGCAAGGCCGGGGGCGTCTCAAGTTTGGCGGCAGAACCACGCGCCACGTCCAGCAGAGAAAGCTGTCGGTCAAAGACCTCACTTCCAATCCTCGTGGCAAAGTCTTGGTGGTCTAGAATGTCTTTGCTTGGTGCGAGTTATCACAAGGTAGAAAGGCAGGTTCTGACTTTGTTTTGGCGTGTAAACAGCAAATTGTTCTGCCTCCCCCATCACGCCTGAGAACCAATATTAGCCGTCCTTCGTGGTACGTTGTTGTCAAGCGTGAAGGATTCCTTCTAACACCAGTTCCCAATGGACTACCAAAAGGAAAGAGCACAACTTTCCGGCCCTGTCCTATATCTTGATGGTTCTCGTACTATTGTATGCCAGTCTTCGGACTCCTTTCATGGCTGAAACGGGGAGGTATAGCCATGCAAGGCCAGGATTTTAAGCTGGCGCTGGACCCCAATCCCGAACAAAATGGTAGCACTCGGAACGAGAGAAGATGGTGGCCTCTAAAGACTCTAGGCTCGTCGCTCACCTTTCCTCCCCGGCCGTTGGAGGGGACACCAAGGCACGGCAGGATCTGGGCGGTTAGCTTTTGGTGTCGTCGATGTGGTGGTTTACTTGTTAGTGATTTCCCACCCAAGGTAGGCTAAGAGTAGGATGGATGGGCTGCGTTGGTTTCCTATCGGTTAGGTCATCCTCGCGGGAAGCGTCTCGCGAACCAGGTTGTTGGAATACCTGCTCAAACCTGTCGTATGTGCGACCAACATGCAGCTTTGTCCTCTGAAGAGTAACAACATCGTATAGGGACTTTCTGGTGATAAGGGGAATTTCGCAGATATGGGTTACAGTTCGCTATTGTGTAACAGGAGACTATACACAGACCCCAGAAATTATCTCAATATATCACCAGGGTCACCTAGAGGTCCCGGCCACCTTGCCTGCGAGCGCCTCTTTCTTACTCTTGCAGGCGCTACGGAGATATTTTTTTACACTCCCTAAAGAAAAATCTTCCTCAAGTGCGAAAACGGAGAGGGAAAAACTCCCCGAAATAGGGGTCCGGGCTTCATCCACCCGCTGCCGGCAGATACGGTATCACGGCGGCTGGGCTTGGTGCTAGGCTTGCTTCCCGCCTCACACACACACACACACACACACACACACATATACACACATCTGATTTTCGGTGGCACGGGGACGGCCCAGTTGGCCCGCATTGATGGCGTCCAGTAAAGGAGGGAGAGTAGGTATGTGATATTTGCCCATGGACGGCGCCCCCCTCCTATCGGCGAATAAACGCACACACGCACATACACATATCCATGCACACTACTTCTATTCAACTTAGGGGCGAACGATAGTGGGTGCGATATCATGGAGGATGAGAGGGGAGGTGGTAGTGGTGGTGGTGGACCACGCTCTGGAGCTTGAGTGCGTCTGTGAGTGAATATTGGTGACAAGAATCACGCAGCCATGGTCCGGCTTACATCGTCAAAAGACTGGCTGGCTGCCTCCCGAAAATTTTCCTGCCAAAAAAGTGTCTACATCACCATTGGTATGAGGTCGAAAGCTTCAGTTTTCTGTAAGCCCGTCCCTCCCCCGGCTCATTATTGGCATGGCACCCCCCCGGCCCGGGCAAGACCGAGCCAAAGATTCTCCATCTCCAGCCAGACAAGCCCTTATACCGCAGGAGGTATACGGATTTACCACTGGACATATAAACCTTCTTTTCTTGTCTCCGATGCAACGGTGGGGGAAAAAAAAAAACTCCAAACCTGGTGGCCTAGCTTGCCTCGGGCCCCTTGAAGTGCCTGAGCACGGCGGTCTGGGAAGGAAAAGCGGAATAAGAAAAAAACAAAAAAAACAAAAAAAACAAAAACAAAACAGCCCTGGGCATCCTGGGATGTGCGCAGGATCTACACTGCAGGGAGACCCGGAGAGAGAAAGAAGAGCGAATGCGTGAATAGTGAAGAAACTTGGAAAATAGAGTACCCCGTAAGGGTAGAGAGAGAGAGTAGAGTATGAGTGAGGCTTGTTAATTGCGTAATTCCACGGTCCTGAAGCAGATCGTGACATCGTTTGCCGAGAGTTTGCCTACACTACGGAATACCTGCTAGGTTATTGTGCCTATCCCTTCTTCTTTCTTCTCGTGAGATCATGGCACGCATGGATGATGGAAGCACTGGATCTCGTGGATCAACCTGCTGTCATCTGCCTCCCGGACCCCTTCCCCGTCGCAGACAAGAGAGAGAAAGAGAGAGAGAGACCGGGGGTTCGCACATCATGTTTGATATGTCGATCACTATTCACCCTCCCAGTCCCAGGGCACCCAGAGCCAGAGTGCCAGGCGTGCCAGAGTCCCACGGGGTGACAGCTCACCTTTGACGTCGCATCGGATCTACAGGAACGGGGTAGCCATAATTCCTCATCAGTGGTGCAGGGGCAAGGAACTTGCCGCAGGCCGTACGGGCGTGACGGAGTACCGGAGTACGGAGTACGGGACTAAAGTAGACGATAGAGGAGCGGAGGGGAACACTACATCACTGAGAAGTGAGAACCCAAGAAAATTCGGTATAATACTCCCAAGGGCCCAGGGGTGAAAGTCGTGCCCCCCCCCAGTCCTCAGCTCTCCACACGTCGATACGCCAAACCTGTTTTGGAAAGCCTGCATACTGGTAATAGGGACAATCTCCCGCCGGCCAACCTATCACAACAGGCAAAAAAGCAGGAAAGGTCGGTCTTTGCAAACGGGGGTAGCGCCGATTGGTAAAAGATGCGATTTTTTCCATCGTTTCTTTCCATATCTCTCCTCCCTTACCTGATACTGCCGGCTCTCCGAGGTGGTCCTCCGAAAGGAGAGGGAACATGGGAACTGATGACTGAATGCAGTTTCCTTTGCGCGAATCCTTCCCGTTCGTCCTGAGTGATGGGACGATAACGTCTTATGCCGGATAGATGCTGGGTATTCGGACGAATTTGCGGGAGGGGTGCTTTGCCGTTTTGGCCGAATTGTACGCAAGTACACGAGTGAAACCTGATGGAGGGGCCACTCGTGTACGGTACGGAGTTGTGTACCTAGTGCCGGCTTTGTCTTCAACGACACTCCATAATCTTTTGCTCCCAAACACGTCAGGTAGCCATTCGACGGGCCAGGCCCTTCCCCCTCCCCCTGTGTTTCTCCCCCAAGAAATTGAGATCATAGAAGCAGTGGGCACCGGTCTCGTTTCGTTTTTTTTTTCTTTCTTTTTTCCCCTACGGAAACTGGAGTATCCGTACCGTACCGTATCTGTATGCCCGCCGCCCACTTTCTTCAAGCACATGCACCATCTATAATCCCCGTGCTTTGTGGAATAAAGATGGGAGAGACTTTTTTCACTTTTGCAAATGGGGCCAAGGCCAACATTGGCAGGGAACTGGGGGGCATTCAGCGGAAAGTTTGGAACGGGGTTGAAGCCTGTACGACCGTGCCTATGAGTACCGTGCCCGTGGTAGTGTATTCGTAGTAAGGCCGAGGAAAAAAGGGAAAAACAGAGAAGGGATCCGCTCTCCATGTGAATGGAAAGCCTGTGCCATCCAGGAAGAGAGGTTCAGTGGATTTCAGTCCTAGCTGGATTTGGTATACGACTGTTAGCGGGAGGCACCTGGTACTGGCGTATAGGGACTGACTGCCTTTCAGAACTCTGGGCGTGCAAAGCATAGGCATGCATAGCTTGTCCGGGTCTCGTTAGCAAGCGGCTTCGAGTGCCATGCCATAGCGCCTGGGGGGTATCCAGATCCATTGTAGAGGACGGGCAACAACCTGGCTTGCCTGGATCACCCACTGTCCACTGTGGTAGTGTAGTGTTGTACTGTGATGGTAGGTAAGGTCGCGGTGCAATGCATGTGCTGCAGTAGGCGAGGCTTTCTCTGGGAGAGCATGAAGCAGCGGGGGGAATGTGTGCCTTGCGGTCCCCGCTCTTTTTCTTTTCGTGGTGTGAGGCATCTGTAGACGTAGACGGTAGGGGGGACGCTTGTGCTGCGTGTGTTCGGAGTTTATCTCGTTTGGGGTTAAAGATAGAAACCTTGATTTGACGCGTGGTGGAGACGTTTCTTTCATTCTTTCTCGCTGCCTCGACCAAAAGTCTTGTCCCGTCTCCACTTACCCACTAAGCAGTTCGAAGTACGTACCGCTGTCTCTCTCACGTGTCCCGCACCGCTTGTGTGTCTTTCCACCCCCCCCCCCCCCGCCCCGACCCTGATCCACATCTTACACTCTACTCTCATGAGCCCCACTCCTTTCATTTCTGTGTCTTTTCTCCTCTTGCTCTTGTTAGTGACACTGGATAGTGGACACATTCGATTGTCAACTTGTCATGGAAGGGGATATGGGCACATATGTCATGCCTCTCATACCAAAGACTATAGATTGCTCCTCCTCTCCATCTTTCTCTCTGTAAGGGCCATGAAACATCAAGGACATGATCGGTCTGAGAAAGCCTTCGGTCCCGAGCTAGACTGTCGACGGCTTGGTGTCCTGGCAGTTCTTCATAGCCAGACGCACCCAGAACAGGGTCTCCTGGCTAGGAAACTTACATCCATGGCCCTGGGTCCTCTGGCGAAGCTTTGAGGCGAAAGCCTCCGTCTGTGGTTCTGGTCCTGGCCCCCAAATCGAAGAGACACTGGCAACTGGCAACTGGCAGCGAACTGGTGGTGGCGAGCACATCGTGCTTCAAAGGAATATGGTACAGGACAGGAGGACTCTGTACGTAGGTAGTCTGCAGACTGTCAACAATCGACTCTCACACCCCAGAGTCAAACCGTCGTCCCAGGAGTATGGTTCTATCACGCTATGCCAGCCCGGTGCCCGCCTACTCTGGCAGGCCTGGCAAGCCGCAAGCCTGGGGGGGGTAGATGCCGCCAGTCCGCCCGCCACAAGCCATTGCGGCACGGGCAAAACCGTTAATCTTGCCATACACCAACACCACCAAGGCCATCACGCAGTCTCGCGCCGTCGTCGCCCTAGCCCAGTAGAGGCCAGACTAGACTTGGCCGACGTCGCAAACCTCCCAGGCGTGGCCGTGGTCTGTGTAACTGTGTTGAGCACTTGCTTGGCCCCTTGGGGACAGAAGACAAGGCCCACGGGTCGGTGCTTGGCTCGAGTCTTCAGATCGCTAGCATCCTCCCGCCCCGCCGTGCCCGCTTCCCTTCCCACACTTCCCCGACGCACCAAGACAGCCCGCCCCATGCCGTTTCGGGTCTGGGCTCCCTTGTCATTCTCGTTTACCATTGCTGTTTTCGTCACAAGCGTCCTCAGCATCGATTCGGTAAGGCAGAGCCCCTGCAACATGAGATCTGCGGAACCCAGAGAAACGGGTCCTGCGTATACACGGCTCGATTTGCTGGCCAAAGCCCTGTTGTCAATCTCCCCCCTCTTGTCTGGCACGTCTGGGTGCGTGCAGTGTGCGCGGTAAAGAAAACATGGTGAAAATGATCCCCAGGGCAGGCAGCTTGGGTCCCTGGCTAGCGCCTTTTTCCTGTACAAAGCCTGCATCTCGTCTATTCGACACAGAAAAGCAACCACGGTCGAAATGCTGCTGCCTTGAGAGACATCAAGGCCGGCTCTGGGCCCTGGCAGCTCGTGACCCCGCCCGCGTTTATGACATCCGTATGACCCGTGTGGATCATGACGGCAACAAGAGACTGAGAGTCGACGAGATGAGAATCGAGACATGCCTGCAATCGTCTTCAGTCGCGAGGTGCCGCAACGGCAGTTGATAGTTCGTATACGAATAGACAGGCCTGAGGGATGCTTCCAACACTGCGGTATCTGTATGTAGTACTTCGTACGGATATTGATTTTTGTCGGGAGACGAGACACCCAACCTTTCTTTGCCTGCCAATGCTTCTGCTCGAAGAATGCGAACCCGCCAATCCGCGTCGACGTCCCATCGGATGCGAGCCATTGGCCGGCCAAGTATGCAGTGTTGCCCCGGGCCGTGGGCGATGCTGGGAGCTTCTGACTTGGGCGCAACGACTCGGCGACGACTCAATAGAAACGCCTCAGTTCCTAGAGAAGGTCGGGTTTTAGCAATATGAAAGATGGGTATTTGAAACGCTGGCATGGACATTCGAAATGGCAACCAACGACCGAACCTCTGCGGACCCGAGTCTCAGCCATCCGATGAGGCAGTCGCCAGTCTAGCCAACGTCGTCGACATTCGAGAACCACACAAGCCTCAACGGTTGTCGGTGGCATCGTGGATCGTGGAGTTCCACTATATGGCCCTGGGAAAGCACTGGTGGACCGTGGTGACTGAAGCTACTGAGCAGGCCTTGAGACTTGAGGTCGAGGATGAGGAATGTGAATCCGTAGGACACGGAACGACGGCGGACGGGTCTCTCATTCCGCGGTATTGAGAAAACGGAATCGCACATGCGCCTTTTCATTTGCTCAATTTGGGCGATAGTGGAGACGTCAAGTACGTACCCGAGATGTTTCCCTGTGGGAGGTTTCTGAGGTCTCGTCCCCACCTGCTGCTATTCTGTTCGGCGACGCCGATCCCAGGAACCTTAATCATCGACCGTCGCTTCACCAGCCGATGATAGATGGCCGTTACCTGATCCAATCAAAAACGCTCTTTCCTTCCCGCGTTCCGCCGTCACCGCCAGGTGAGCGATGCTGTGATGGAAAGTCACAAAGTCCACTATTTGTTGCCGCCCCGCAGAATGCGAGATGTAACCCAGAATCATTAAAGAATGCTGGTAACAATGACGATGCTTTGGAGAAGCACAGAAGGTCTTGGAGGATGGAGCACTTCTTCCGTCTGCGTTGAACCGGTATCTCGAGTGTTTGTAAATTCCTACTCTCGACCGGCGTTAGGGGTCCTACGCTACAAGACAACCTACCTTAGGCGGGGGATGGGTTCGGTTTGAGAATCGAATGGTTTGGGGTTTACCGTTGGCGTTCAAGCAGTCCTGAGTATCAAACCGCGTTCCCGTCATGTTTGGTCTCGACTCCCATGGGCCATGGGTGCTCAGGCAATTTCCAACTGCTCCGCAGTACACTTTGGATGTAGGTACTGCGTAGCAGGCAGAGAAACTCTTGTAATTGCGTAGCATGCAAGCATGGTAAAGTCCGTACGGACGGATTAAGGTAGCATTATGGACATTAGCAGTTGCCAGTCAGATCTCCAATCTGTACAGTTCACCGTAAGGTGTCCGTACCTGCCGAATGGCTTCATCTTGCCAGCAAGTGGAGGAAGGTCGAGGGTGAGGCTATCGCACAGCTTGCCCAAATAGGAAATGTGATGGTCCGTGCGAAGTACCCCTCCCTTTCAAGGTCTCCACTGGGGAGGTATGAGGTGGTAACCGACGACCCTTGTGCTGTTCGTCCCTGCACCTGCCTGCCTGTCGTCCCGTCCGTCTCGTCCCAAGCATTCGGATGATGGGTGTCGGTGTCTCGAGCATCTGCATCCTGTGGCCTACCCTGTGCTTCCGTTTGTGCCTCACCTCCGCATCTTGGCTAGCTGGGTACGGAGTAGTGATTCGAGCAAACAACAGCAACAGCATGGAAGATGATGCAGGATCGCCCCGTGCCCACACCTGACGCTCGCGACACTTGTCTCTACCAGTACAACACCCCCGTGCCCCCGCAGGAAATGCGGTTTCTAAGAGGAGCCAATCGCGACAAAAGCAGGAGCTAATTACGGATACTCCTCCCCTCGGTGTTGAATGGTTGAGAACTTGAGTCCATCTATGGATATTCGTATGCGTTCAATAAGGTATCTGAGGCGAGGAAAGAAAGACACGCACCAGATGCCGGTACGTTCCTGTGATGTTCAAGAAGGTACGGATACATAGTACTTGAAGTACCTTAGGTAGGTACGTTCTGTGATTTCCCTCCTTACCTCAGCAATTGCACAACGGGAGTCAGTGGAGGAGGGAAGCCGACGGCGCCTTCCCTTTGCCCTGATCTCACCCTCCCTGCAACTGCAACCCGACCGCAACTGCAACTGCAACTGCGACTGTGACTGCCTGCTGCACTTGCAAGTTTGCCAGCCCGGCGGTGGCTGGCAGACTCAGCCCTATGGATGCTCCCACCTCCCACCAAGTCCATCCCGATACCCAGTTTCTCAGATTCCCCAGTGTCATCAGCCACACATGCGCTTTCATCAATACTACATTGTAGCCTGCTGCTGGGGGGCCACCACGACAGAATCAGAAAAACGAAGCATCCCAGGAGTCGCGCTGGCGCTGGCGTCGACGGCAAGGGACCCGGCGGTACGGATACACAAAAGCATCCATCGTTGGGCCTCAACGCCGACATGGGACTGGGACTGCGAGGTCATCTCCATGACCCATGATCCAAATCCGACTGCCGATGCAACATTCTGGGGCCGGCCAGAAACATACGACAAAAGATACGATGCCATGCCGCCCTTGACGCCAATCTCCAGGTACCTACGGATACTCTGCCCCCTTCGCGGCTCGTCCTCGTCTACCTTTACCAGAAGAAGAATGAAACTTCATTTCACAATCCACTGTTCGTCAATGGCCTTGAGCCCCCCGCCAACATGATCGATTTTCGGCACCATGTACCTTGTCCTAGACAAGCATCGTCCCGGCTCGCCTGAATCGCCATCTGCGCGTACCAAACTTCGCATCGGATGCAGCCCAATCTCTTGGGTCAGTGGACCATCATTGTCGTCCTGCGTGGGATCGCTCACCTTGCGGACTGGTCTAGACTCTACGGATAGATTCTATCGCCGGCCATTGCCAGAGTCGTATTATCGATCCCACGGACTGCTTTGCTCCAAAGTACCATACCACGGCGGCTGCCATTGCATTGTACGGATTGTCAAAGTCACTAAGATCGCCTCATCCCTTCGGCCCATTCCACCCTGCAGCATTTCTTGCACCCTCGCCAAGCTTGCCGTCTTGACTTGCCTTGCACGCTGTCGGTCAGTCATGGGATCACTCATGAACCTGATTTTCGATAGAATACGACCCCTCGCATAGCGATGGTTATGCACCGGCCAGGGGGCACAGTCGGATGTGGCCAATACAATTGCAGACGAGAACACGATCCCGCACACCAACATGCGCAAATCTCACCCACTGATTTCGACGTCTCCCTCTCTCTGGTTGCCGCAATCGTCAACCATCCCGACCCACGCTTCGCTGCTGCCCATCCCCCGGGAGCCCACGCCCACGCCTCTCATTCGCTCTTCTCTCGCCCCTTGGTCCTGGCTTACCCGGTCAGCACTGCCCAAGGGACGGTCCTCGCTGTCTTCACACGTCCCCCACATCATCAACGATCAGTGAAGCAAGCGACCCCTATTCACTACAGAGTCGGGTTCTAATACCTCAGACACGACCAATGATGTGGCCGGGCCGCGGCGGCATAGGAGGCCGCAATCGTCCAACATTGAGCCAGTACAACGGACGCTAAAATGTCCGGCGAGGTGATACGTCGAGTCGGTTGAGCCAATGAAAGATTCAGATTGGTGCTCGGCGCCGTCATCCTCTAACGTGCCATCCTCCCAGCGTTCGAATGCAAATTTAAGCGTCTGCCGAAAGATTTTGCGACAAACTTTTCACGATGCTCTGACATGCATGATAAACCCCTGAGTACGGGTAGGAGGAGCGGAAACAGAAGGCTTTGTGAGTCTTAGATCTCACCAGGGTACCCGACGAGGCCTCTCCAGTCAATGTCTTTAGGGCGTGCCGTTGATTCGGTAAGGCTGAGCGTCCTCGACTTATCTGGGCGCAGACTCGCTTTACTTGACAGGACGCACGGCGGCGTCGAAAGATCCCGACGCGCGGGTTATGGGAAAAGACTGGGCGGCACAGAGGCGGCTTGCGTGCTGCATGTCTCTTCATCCAACGCCGGCTAGCTGGTTATACCTCAAAATGGCGGGATCGCTCCCGTCCCCTGGCTCCACACGAAGACCCTTGAGGTTCAGCAAGCCACCAAACGAAGACATGCAATGTGCGCTCTTAGAACAAGGGGCTTGGGGGCCTCACTGCCCCGTGCTATTGACCATATTGGTCGAGTCTCACTTACGGACTGCTTCATTCGAAGTAATGGCACGCGGGTCCAAAGATGAGATGACGCTTGCAACCCGCACAGGTGCGCCAAGGAGAAGAAGAGGGAGAAGAGCATGGAAAATTCCGTTTGACTGGTTTCTAGAGCATTGCAACTCACGGCCGGCATACAGCTCTTCTGACCAAACGTCTTTCGGAATCAGAGACACAGACTAATACCACAAGCTCCGGCGAGAATCTTTGAATCTCGGCGACCACCACCTCCAAGTCGACACGACATCCCTACCTGCGTTGCTCGGAACGAACCTACTCATCCTCGGTGACCACAAGAGCCGACTGCCAAAGTTAGCATCCTGCGAGCACAGCGATCAATCGATAGCGTTGTATGGGTCGTAAGGAGTACACATGACGTTGCTATAAACACGAGATGACGGAAGGAATACGCCGTGCAAAGAATGCCACCTCCAGGTATTCGTA